TTGTCTTACAAGGGATGGCTTCTTGGATTGAGGATGTATGGTACTCACCATTAAGATCACTCAAGTATCTTCCTCTGCTGTAATGCCCTGTCCCTATCAATTTTCTGATGATAATTTAGCTTCTAACATATATTTTTACTTAGGCAAAGAACATGCTGACCAAAGAAATAAGAGTTCTGAACCATCTGCCACTCAGCTTTTTCACTGTAAATCAACAAACCAGCAATATGTCATTAAGACGATTTAACACAATCCCTCTGATCCTGATCTGCTTGAGTGCACTGCCTCATTCTGGATGCTGAGAACAGACTCTGGAATGGTGCTTTTTGCCCTTATGATGTCCTGTATATCCCTCCATTTTATGACTTGCTACGTTAAATTATATCAGAATCATTAAAATATGTGGTTCTGGAGTCAGGCTGCCTTGGACAAGTTATTTGATCTCTGAGCCTGAGTTTCCTCGTTTGATAAATGAAGATCATAATAATAGGCGATTGTGAGAAGTTGAAAATACAAGGAAAGCACTTAGAACAGTATCAGGCACATAGCAGACACTCAGTACATTGGAGTGCTTCTATGATTATGATTATTATTATTACCAACACCATCCCTGTCCCTGAAGTGTAAGCTCCTTGAGGACAAAAACCAGGTCTGAATTCATCCTTGTGTTGCCAGGCACTTAGCACTGTACCCGGTATAAGGAGAATCAGCAATCATTCTATGTTGAACTCACCCCACATCCACACCGTCCTAGGAAACCCTGCCTCAGGGCTGGGCAGCCTCCCTGAACAGGGTCTGCCTCACTTCTCTTTAACTGCAAAGAAACAGCCCTATCAGCGGCAGTTCCTGCAATGGCCGTAATCCCCAACAAAACATACTCTAAATGTGGTTACTTCCAGCCTCAAAAGAGCTATCTCTTTTCTTCAATGCTAAGCCTGCTCCTTGTATTCTCCCAGGTGCTCCTGTCATCCTTATTTAACACCAAGGAACCAGAGACCCGCGGAGGCTGTAGAGAATGCAGAGCCAGGCGTGTCCAACCCCACCAGCCGGCCACTTTCCCAATTTGAGTATTACGAGCAATATTTTTTTTTTAAGATTTTATTTATTTATTTATTTAGTTATTTATTTATTTGTCAGAGTGAGAGCGAGAGAGCGAGCACAAGCAGGGCGAGCGGCAGGCAGAGGGAGAAGCAGGCTCCCCGCTGAGCAAGGAGCCCGATGCGGGACTCGATCCCAGGATCCTGGCATCACGACCTGAGCCGAAGGCAGATGCTTAACCGACTGAGCCACCCAGGTGTCCCAAGATTTTATTTATTTATTTGAGAGAGAGAGAATGAGAGAGAGAGAGCACATGAGAGGGGGGAGGGTCAGAGGATGAAGCAGACTCCCCGCCAAGCAGGGAGCCCGATGCGGGACTCGATCCCGGGACTCCAGGATCATGACCTGAGCTGAAGGCAGTTGCTCAACCAACTAAGCCACCCAGGCACCCTATTACAAGCAATATTAAAAGGCAGATGACAAACCAGGGGAAAGCACTTTAATATTGGCGTGAAACGAGGTCCAGGATATGTAAATATATATAAAGAAGTATTAGAAACAATAAAAAAAAGTCAAACACTGCAATGGCAAGATGAATACAAAAAAGACACAAGCAATTCAGGAAGGAAAATATACTGACACTCAATAAGCGCATGAAAAAATGTCCAATCTCACTTAGCAATGAATTAAATGCAAATTAATACAATAAGAAACCATTTTCCACCTATCAAATCCGCCAGGGTTTTATTTAGCATTGGAAAGGGTTGGGAAGATGGGTATTTTCATGCACAGCTAGTAAGAGTGTATGTGGATGGCTATTTTGCAATACATACCACCAAGTCTTAAAAATGTGCACATCTCTTTGCCCTAATAATCCCATTTCCAGGAATTTATCCTAAGTGAATAATCATGGATGTGTTAACCACAAAGCTGTTTATCACAGTATTATTTATAACAGTAGAAAAATTGGAAACAGAAATCATCTAAGTCCAGTAGGGAAATGGCTATATAAAATGGAAACAACATCCTTTACTTTATAGGACTATTGTAGAAGTTACACTGATTGTATGAGGTAATGTAGGTAAAGCACTTAAGATAGTGCCCGGCATATATGTGCATAATAAATGATGGGTATTATTACAGCAAATTTACCAGAAGGAATATTATACAACCATTAAAATGATATTGCTGTTACCACTTTGGAAAACAGTATGGAGGTTCCTCAAAAAGTTGAAAATAGAGCTACCATACGATCCAGCAATTGCACTCCTGGGTATTTACCCCAAAGATACAAATGTAGGGATCCGAAGGGGTATGTGCACCCCAATGTTTATAGCAGCAATGTTCACAGTAGCCAAACTGTGGAAAGAGCCAAGATGTCCATCGACAGATGAATGGATAAAGAAGATGTGGTATATATATACGATGGAATATTATGCAGCCATCAAAAGGAATGAAATCTTGCCCTTTGCAATGACGTGGATGGAACTGGAGGGTGTTATGCTGAGCGAACTAAGTCAATCAGAGAAAGACATGTATCATATGACCTCACTGATATGAGGAATTCTTAATCTCAGGAAACAAACTGAGGGTTGCTGGAGTGGGCGGTGGGGTGGGAGGGATGAGGTGGCTGGGTGATAGACACTGGGGAGGGTATGTGCTATGGTGAGCGCTGTGAATTGTGCAAGACTGTTGAATCACAGATCTGTACCTCTGAAACCAATAATGCAATATATGTTAAGAAAAAAAAGAAGAAGATAGCAGGAGGGGAAGAACGAAGGGGGGGAAATCGGAGGGGGAGACGAACCATGAGAGACGATGGACTCTGAAAAACAAACTGAGGGTTCTAGAGGGGAGCAGGGTGGGAGGATGGGTTAGCCTGGTGATGGGTATTAAAGAGGGCACGTTATGCATGGAGCACGGGGTGTTATGCACAAACAATGAATCATGGAACACTACATCAAAAACTAATGATGTAATGTATGGTGATTAACAGAATAAAAAAATTTTTAAAATGATATTGCTGTTAATGACATAATACAGTGAAAAGGAAGAGCCAGTTATAATAAAGACCCAATTTTTGTTTTACGTCTATATACATGAATACATAAACACTTTTTATAGTATCTATCTATATGTGTATTAAGAAACTAAAGAATTTTTTAAAAATCTATGCCAAAATATTGACAGTAAGGTTTCAGTGATGATCAGTTTTGTTATTAACTTTCACATTTTCTCATATTCTTTTTAGTAAGTATGTACTACTCTTTTAATGAGAAGGCCATTGGGTGGCTGTATTTCTTTGGAAGAAATAGGAAATGTTGAGCTTGCCTATTTGGCCAAAGAAGAATATTTAACATAAAATTTTATTCAACAAACATGACAGTCACAAAATATATACTCTGGTTTCGTATTATGGACATTTCAGGTCTACAGGAAGAAGGACAAACGGGAAGGCAGGAGGAGGTGAGAAGAGGGAACCGGGAGAAAGACGCCCAGGAGAGGTGCAGGGAAGAGGAGGGCAGGGCAGTGCAGAGGTGTTAGGGGCTCCCTGTTCCTTCCAGTAAATGATGCAGCGTGGCCAACACCTCTGGGGCCACCATGTCCCAAGCATCGTGTGTGAGAGTGACACAACTTCTGCCTTCAAAAAAGCTTATTTTCTATCTAGTTCCACAGCTTCCTGCTTTACAACAAAAAACTGAATCCTTTTTTTTTTTTTATTTTTTTTTTTTATTTGAGAGAGAGAGAATGAGAGACAGAGAGCATGAGAGGGAGGAGGGCCAGAGGGAGAAGCAGACTCCCCGCCAAGCAGGGAGCCCGATGCGGGACTCGATCCCGGGACCCCAGGATCACGACCTGAGCCGAAGGCAGCCGCTCAACCAACTGAGCCACCCAGGCGCCCAACAAAAAACTGAATCCTAAAAGCGACTCGGAACTAAGAGCCTGTCCAAAAGCCACCAAATTAGAAGAGGAGAATTTGTTAATTACTCTGCTATATCCTGCCGTCCATCCACTTAGGCTTCAAAGTTCTCATTACCCTTTAAGGGGCAATTTATCTAAGTAAACTTTTCTCCTGACTCTTCATCTAGACTAATCCTTAAAATCGGAGGGTGCTCTGCTCTGAATGGGGAGGAAGCCCACTGGGCAGGCATTTTTCTCTGGACTTCAACAGAAAATTGGGAACTAAAGTGATCCAGCCATGGCAGAGTTTCTTCACCTCTGGTTGAACAAAAAAGAGCAAGGGGCTAAAGCAAGTGGTTCTTTCTAGCTCTGCTACTCTATGGACAAACAGAATGTAGAATCCTTTGATTAGATTTTATGCTGAAATCCGAAAAATGGTTCATACTGTTCAATTTGTACAAAGACTAGCTAACCCCAGAATACCACGTTGAGGCTGAGATACAATGATGCAGTGTTTACAGGAGGAGCTAGCTACTTCAGCCAGTTCCCTGCAAGCTGGGTAGTCAAACGCTTACAAGATTCACATCCATGCTAGGAAGCAAAAACCTCTACAAACACAAAATGGTTAAAATATGATTTAACTTCATCTGATGGGAGTTGTTCCTGAAAAGTGGTAATTTTGGGGAAATCCAATCCGATCAAACTTTAAGCACACTGAGAGGGTATTCTATTTAAAGCAGTCAGTGTCCTTCAGTTTTGAAAGGTCCAGAAGCCTTTCCCTTAAAAAATATCACACATATTGTGCACAGTGCACATACACAAATCAAGCCGCATACAATTTTAGGAGATCCTGTGCCCTAAGCAAAGAATCCAGCATCTTGAAGGGACCCACAGTTAAAAGGCACTCACAAATAATCCTTTTTTTAAATGAACGGCGTGATGAAAGCCCAATTTTTCAGGCTAATAAATCTGTATTTTTATATGCCAGGTGAAATAATTCAAGTAGAATTTGCCCTTAGAATGCAAATTCGTGCTTTCGGTTTTTACATAAACAGACTCACAGGTGATCATCAACAAGTGCTTGAGACATATCTGTACTTTTCCCAAGAAATTCTTACCAGTGTGTGTTTTCATGTGCTCGTCGAAGTACTGCTTCATGTTGAAATCCTTGCCACACCACTGGCACATGAACTGTTTGTGCCCAATGTGGATGCTCATGTGGGAACGTAGCTGGTACTTGTACTGAAACCTTTCGTCACAGTTCTGCATTGGACACAGTGGAGATTTTTGAATGCCAAGCATAGGAGCTTTACTTGAGCCCACCCCACAAAGTCTCTGAGATTAGGTTTCTTTTTCACACCTAAAATAGGACCTGCTGTGTCAACTGTTTGGCTCTGCTCTATTTCTATGGCTCAGTTATTCATAAAAGGGGAATTTTCTCAAATAATTAGCACTGAAGTTACCCCCAACTTCTCTGGATTACTGAGGGAAGACAAATAACTCATCGTGTGTTATTCCTGGGCTTAACCTAGTCTGAGAGGGTTAAGATGACCTTTCTCTATCTGGCCGTGAGCTGACACGGGGCACTCGCTCAGAGCTCAGAGCGTGTATCTGGAGGGCCTCTCGCCTGTACCTCGCACACCTCTCCCTCACTGCTCACCACGAATACAAAAGCTCGTCCCTAGGCCTGGGCCTGGGGGGCAGCACGCTCCTTACCTCGCATCTGAAGGGCTTCTCTCCAGAATGCTGCAAGGAGTGCACCTTGAGGGACATGCTGCGTTTGAACGACTTTCCACAGGTTTCGCATGTAAATGGCATGTCTTTCGTGTGTGCTGCAACACAGAATGCACTGTACTCAAAATAAGCCCACCGAAAAGCTCAAGCTGGGAAAGACTCATGTCCTTTGCTGGGACTGCGAGGAACTCATGCCATCTGGACTTTCTACACTTTAATTTGTGAGGTCTTAAGAGCAACGTTCTGAAGAGAAACAGAAATCACAAGGTTGGAAAGGAACCTGTCCCGGGCCAGTCGGTGATGCTTGCTGAGGACATGCTGCAGTTAGTTTCGACAAGTCAGAATAGATTAAAGGAAGGCCGTTCCTCGGATCCTGCCCCATCTGAAGCATAAAACACACCAAAGAACAAGGACAAATTATAGGCATGAGAGAAAAAGCAGAAGAAACTTACCAACCATGTGTTTCCGCACATGAGCCATGGTATAGAATTTCTTCTCACAAATTTCACAGGAAAACTTCTTTTCTGCATATCCATGGACGATCTTGATGTGTTCATGAAGGGACCAGAGTTTCTTGAATGATTTGTTACAGGAAACACACTGAGCAGGATAAATAGAAATAATCTTTATTTACAGGGGCTTGCAGAAAGCTGTAGCTGCCTACTGGCTGATGAAACGGGCATGCTAGAGATTCATGGCACAAGGCCAGAATCCAAACAAACAAATGCCAGTCCTCCGATGAGTCCAGATGCCAACACCAACATCTGTATGTTCTATTTTTCAAGACACATCTTTTAGAGATGCTTTGGGAGTACGAAAACAATGGCAAAAAGTAAGACAAAGAGAAATGGAAAGTTCCGCTAATTGAAAAGACTTGACTGCTTTTAATCAGTATAGTACCAATGGAGAAGAACCAAGTTTTTAAAAATAAATGGATTACCAAGAGCAGCTGTCTCCTACACATAGGTCACTAAGCAGTTAACAGGTATTTACCAGGGAATACAAACTAATTTTAAATGAGCATAAATAAAAATGAGATAAAACACATATTAACAGTTACAGATCTGTGGAAGTATAACAATGTTTCTGTACCTTAAAGAAGGCATCTGAAGCTTTCATTAACACAAATTATTGAGATTTTATTATATTTTCCCATATCTAATTTACTCTATGGGACATGTCCCTTCTAAGCCACCAGTATCATCTTCCCTTTCCCTGGTAGCCAGCCCCAGATCTCTGGTACACAGGTCTACAGGAAACACATGCAACAGTGCCTAGTTCCTTGTATTATGAATCAGTAATAGTCTGGAATATCAGGCCTAAAGTGTATCAGAATAAAGTGCTTCTGGTTAAAGCAAAACAATACTAGAAAGTTCTGGGTAACCACCGACTCGGAGACATTTAAGGGAACAAGTTAGCTATTCACTGGAAATAAAAATCTCTGAACATTACAGTCACTTCAGGAAACAAGGACTCTGAGAAGAGTGAAAAAAATAAATAAGCCTCTGGTTGGACCCGCTAGAGAGAAGGACAGACCTACCCCTACAAGCCACTGTGCAGGGCAGGGTTTCAATTTTTACTCGTTACTAGGCCGCCAGGATCATGAGGATTTATATGTATGAACAAAGCAGTATTCTTCAGGAATGTAAAGAGAGCTCTTTCGGCAGAATCCACAGAACCTGAATGCAAGCTGAAGTGCCTTATGGTGAGCAACAGTGAGGAAAGTCACAGAATGAGGATGTATTAAATGTTGTCTTTCTGTAACTTAATAAAGCAAATTTAAGTAAAAAAAAAACCAACCAAACAAAAAACCCCACAACTTTATGGACATCAATAGATATACCTTTCAGCAATGAGTCATCAGAGAACCCAAGTCTGACCCCTAGGGTGCAGCACTGCATCACACTCCCCTCGGCCTGAACCGTCACAACCAACTCATAACCAAGCAAGGCCAGTGGTAGTTACCGGAGGGTCTGGGCGCCACGACTCAGCCTTCTTTTATTACCAAGCGTGTAAGAGACCAAGTCACAACTGATGAACCAAAAAGCAATGAATTTTTGGCAAACATAGTTTATATTTAAAAAATCTCTTTAAAGTAAAGCAATGATCTCAGTTGTTGATTAAAAGCGAGAGGTGAAGTGAAAAAGAAGCACTCCAGATCAAGCGCACTCCAAGAAACAAACCAAAACAAAACAATTGCATTTTTCAAAAGAAGTTTGACTTAAATATGGCACGACACATTTGTATTTTACATATCTGATGGCGACTTACCTTTTATGAATATTCATTAATATGCATTCACAGGTACAAACCAATACAGCTCAACATAATATAATTCACTTGACATAATATAATTAGCACACCTCTTAACCTGTCACAATATAGTCCTTTCAAGACATCAGCCTGGTTTGAAAACCACATTCTGTTACCTTAATAATGTAGCATTACGTAACCCCACCACCAGGTGGGCAACATTTTCAACCAGCTCAGCCTCTGTTTAAAGTCTGCATATTCCCATGGGCTCAGCCTCTTGATAAATTTAATGTTGTCATCTCTCCACTGGTAAAAGCAAACTCACTCCTGGAGATCTTCCATTTTCACCGGTCTGAGGCATTATGGTTTTTGTCCCCATCAGCTGCACTAGAATCTGGCATCCTTCCAAACCTAGAAGGGGACCTCTCTCTATTCCTGACCTTCACTCAGTATCTCCCACCTTGACAGAGAAGATGCCAGAATGAATTATATGTTACACGTCTCACAACAGTGAATCTCAGTGCAAAGTCGGTGTTGACTTTACCTCCTGGGCAATCAGTCACCTACAACAGATTACCCCTTCCAGTCAGTGTACCTGCGTTCCCACTAGTCCAGCGTCAGGTAAGTGTAATGCTTTTGAAAGAAAAGGTTAAGCCCGGGTTTTGAAAAGACCAAAGCAGGAGCTTTTAAAAAGATACATCGGTGAAAACTGTCCCTTCAGCCTCTACTGTATTTATTCTCTTGGGCAGATACCAGGTGAGTCTGAACAGCCAGGTGCTATCCTGGAAAGTGTGCCCTCTCGGTGGTGAAACCTACCTGAATATTTTTTTCACAGTCTGTTTGCTGGTGAAGGGACAGCTCACTTTCCAGGACAAACTTCTTGCCACACTTATCACAAATCTGCATGCGCCTGTGAGTAACGTTCATGTGCTTCTCCAGGTACCAGCGAGTATTAAACACCCTGGGGCACTTCTCACAGGTCAGAGTCTCTTTCTCTTCACACTTAGCTTTCTGGACCGGCGCTTTGGGCTCCTTGGCAGCCCGCTTCTTACGCTTAGGCGGCTCTACGCTCTTCCTACGCCCTCTTGTCGTCCTGGGAGTTGGGGAAGTGGTGGCCGTGGCCACGGAGCTGGCTCTCCTGGTTCTCCTGTGTGTGACGCTGGCCTTCTCCGCTGTCTTCTCCTTCTTCTTCTGCCTTCTGTTCTCTCCATAGTCATTGCTGTCATCGGTGGCCTCTTCCTCACTCTCCTCCTCCTCCTCCTCGCTGCTTGTCTTAAGAACAGGAGTCTCTTTGGACTGAGAAGAGACACCCTTTTCCCCTTTAGACACATTTAACGTTTGGTTATTAAGGTTTACCTCCACTATGATCTGCTCCCTTTTGTAAGAAACCTCCTCCTCCTCCTCCTCCTCCTCCGTGTCATCAGAATTCTCCCGGTCTTCCTTAACAGCATGCACGTCAGACACTGCCCTTGGCTCCCTGAAATACGGCTGTTCCTCGGCTTCGTGGAGATGGGGCTTGCTCATCTTGGGGTCCACTAACACAGAATAAGGACTTCCCGATTCCCTTTTGTACACTTTGGTGGACAGGTCAAGTTCTTGGTTGGCACCATGATAAAAGGCAGATGGCACTGGAGCCCGACGGCTATCTTCTTGGGCCATCCCTGCTGCATGCACAGCGCAGCTTTCCACCCGCTCCTGGCGAGAGCTGGCTGCGTGGCTCATGGGGGAGCGGCCCGATGCAGAACGCAGATCAGACTGTAGAGAAACAGCTTTAAAACAGGGTAATTATTAAGACTCAAATCTTTTTCCATCCACAAAGAATCACTCAAAAAAAAAAAAAGGTATTCCTGGAACCTGTGTGCAATTCTTCCAGTGTGGCAGCGCCGAAGCGTAAGTCAGAAGGTTTGGTATTATGGCAAGAGCAGAGCGCTAGTGACTTTTCTTCTGAAGGGAGCTGCAATTGACTTGGAGCATCTTATCTACAAAGAAAAGCAAAGAGGAAAAAAAGGTCAGATACCCTGATTTCCTTCTCACAGCATGCACATCATACAACACAGCTGAAAATGATTCAACTCTTTACAGAGGCAATTCTTTATGCTGCTTAAATGGTTCGGTGTGGGCCATTATTTCACTGGGCTACTGGTTTACTAAATTCAACACAATTTTGTTAGAATGTACATTCTGAGATAGCAGCAGGAATCTACCTGTCCAGTGCCCTGAGGATCCTTACAGGTTAGCACAGTGCCAAGCACTTAGGTGTTCAGTACGTATCTGATGACAAAATGAATATGTACTATTGCATGGCATTCATTGTGCTAGATGCTACAGGACACGGTGATATGACAGAATATATGGTCTCTGTCCACAGGGAGTTCATAGTCTTGTCATATAAACAAGTGTCCTAGGTGAAACACACAAGAGCTTTCTGCTGGCTGGCTTTGTTTTCAACATCAGTCACTACCATCCACCACAGTTAGGGCTCAAAGAACAAAGCTGGCTGTGAGCTAGGCACTGTGGACCAGGGAAATAAAACAGCTAGTTGACGTAAGAAGACACAGAAGAGACAGAAAATGTCCGTGGCCTTAAATAATGTATAATCTCGGTAGGGATATTATTATAGATATTACTGGTTTCAGATTCATCAGAGTAATTTCAAAGTTGCTAAGTATTTTTAAGTTTGTTCCATGCGCAGCTCACTAAATCCACTTGAGAGCCGGGGAATTTTTCATGTGTCAGTTGCACAGAAGTCCAATAAATTCTAAGAAACAGTAACCATCAGGTTGATATGGTTCCAAGAAAAATGAAACCATCCATTAAAAAAAAAGAGAGAGAGAGAGAAGGGCGCCTAAATCGCTTTGTGACATAGCTCACATTGCTGTTTAACCACCCACCTCATCCCTGAGTCATACGACTGTCACTGCAAGCACATACCCCGTCTAGCTGACGGAAGGAAACTAGCATTCGCTGAGGGCCTGCCACGTGCACCAGCAGGCAAAGGTGCTTCTCCTTATTCCTATTTAACAGCCACCACAAGACTCTGGGGGTGGTTTTTAAACTCATTTTTGATTTTTTATCGAAGTGATCACTAAAAAAAGAAAAGCACACATCGTTTGTCCAAGTCACATACACAGGAAGGTTTCTAACAAAAAGAATAGCCCTCTGCCGACTCCATCCTATCTGATCCCGGAGCCTGGAAACGAAAATGTTCAACTACATTAGCTCCTCCTCCCCAGCATTTCCTTCCATATTTTTTTTTTTTAAGATTTTTATTTATTTATTTGGCAGAGAGAGAGAAAGAGAGCACAAGCAGGGGGAGTGGCAGGCAGAGGGAGAGGGAGAAGCAGGCTCCCCGCTGAGCAGGGAGCCCGA